GATTTAATCAACAGAAAACTAAAAAGTGACGGACCTGGCTTAACACAGGCTTCGACCACGATCTATCGGGTTCGATTTAACCAACAAAAACTAAACAAGCTTGCTTGAGCAAAAATGAGTCGTCATGAAATTTTCTGCCATAGGGCTTTTTGGAGACTTCTCCAAGGCAAATGCATGAAATGACGCATGAAACGCTACATGAAATGTGTGTTTGATGCATGATGATAACAGAAAAATTTGTCTTGGTTGCAAAAATAGAGTGAAATCACTTGCTTTTATAAAAACTTGGGATTGTTCAGATAGCCCGATCACCGCATTTCGCTTTCCTTCAAAAATCATTTTAACTAGATCGAGAGTAACCAGAACAAATGGGACGACGACTTTGCCCTGATAACTTTGTAATGTCGTATTTGCCCCAATGTTCCAGAGAACAAAATGTCCCTCAGGCTTCCTGTGCCCTTATGTTTGATTTCGAGTAACACATAGCCTTGGAGATGTGAATATAAAAGCTACCATCCTTCGTATATAGAAAGAGACGAATGGAGACCAGACTTTATAAATTACAAGGGACACACGTCTCAAAGATGTGGTTCAAATCTAGGCTATAATAGAGAATGGATACACAAAACTGCCTTTCAAGCATAATACTGATATCAAAGTGAAAATTTTCGAAATACATCAGAAACTATGCATAATATTTTCGAACATGATCTGAGTTGACTGGATTTAAAAATTCAGTGCCATCCATGTTGGCCAAAACTAGTGCTCCTCCGGAGAAAGCCTTTTTCACCACAAATGGTCCTTCATAATTCGGGGTCCATTTGCCTCGATGATCTTTCTGTAATGGGAGAATTCTTTTTAGAACTAAATCTCCCTCTCTAAATCTTCTTGGGCGCACCTTCTTGTCATAGGCTTTCATCATTCTTCTTTGATAAAGTTGTCCTCTGCATAATGCCGTCAACCTCTTTTCTTCCACAAAGTTTAGCTGCTCATAACGCCTTTGGACCCACTCAGCCTCTTGTAACTTAGCTTACATGATAACTCTCAATGATGGAATTTCTACTTCAATAGGGAGAACAACTTCCATACCATAAACTAAAGAAAATGGCGTTGCCCCAGTTGAAGTACGGACTGAGGTGCGGTAACCATGTAAGGTAAATGGAAGCATTTCATGCCAGTCTCTATAAGTTACAATCATCTTTTCAATTATTCTTTTTATGTTTTTGTTGGCGGCTTCCACTGCACCATTCATCTTAGGTCNCATTTCATGCCAGTCTCTATAAGTTACAATCATCTTTTCAATTATTCTTTTTATGTTTTTGTTGGCGGCTTCCACTGCACCATTCATCTTAGGTCGATAAGGGGTTGAGTTGAGATGCTTGATCTTAAACTGCTCACAAAGCTCACTCATCAATTTGTTGTTYAAATTCYTTGCATTATCGGAAATTATGSTTTCARGAAGRYCRTAACGACAAATAATTTCYTTCTTGATGAATTTGACTACAACTCCTTTYGTCACATCTCGGTAAGAAGCTGCTTCTACCCAYTTAGTAAAATAATCTATGGCTACCAAAATGAATCGATGCCCATTTGATGCTTTAGGTTCGATAGGTCCTATCACATCCATGCCCCACATAGAGAAAGGCCAAAGAGCTGTCAAAGTATGCAAATGAGAAACAGGAGCATGAGTCTTGTCCGAGTAAATTTGGCATTTGTGACATTTTCTTGCATATTTAATACAATCTGTCTCAATACTTAGCCAGTAATAGCCAGCTCTTAAAATTTGTCTAGCCATCATGTGCCCATTTGCATGAGTGCCACAAACTCCTTCATGAATTTCCTCCATAATCCTATTGGCCTCTCTTCCTTCGACACACCTTAGGAGAACCATGTCATGGTTCCTCTTGTACAATATCTCTCCATTTAAGAAAAACTTCATTGCCAACTTGCGAAGGGTGCGCTTATCATTTTCTGAAGCATTTGGTGGATATTCTTTACTCTTTATATATTGCTTGATATCATGAAACCAAGGGTTACCGTCGGGTTCTTCCTCAATGCTCATACAAGAAGCTGGGATATCTCTCCTCCCAACTTTAATCGGACGAACATCCTCATTAAGTTCTAAATTGAACATCACCGCTAATGTGGCCAATGCATCTGCTACTTGATTATTTTCTCTTGGCAAATAATCAAATGAGATTTCATCAAATTCTTGTGACAATTCTGTTATGAGTTGTTTATAAGGCAACAACTTAACGTCTCTTGTTTCCCATTCTCCTCTTAGTTGATGAATTACTAGCATAGAATCCCCAAAAACTTTAAGTTTCTTAACCTTCATATCAATAGCAGCTTGGACGCCCATCGAGCATGCTTCATACTCAGCCATATTATGTGTGCAGTCAAAACATAATCTAGCAGTAAGAGGGTATAGTTCCCCTTTGGGTGATATCAAAATAGCCCCTATCCCATGACCTAACTCGTTAGAGGCACCATCAAACATCATGGTCCAAGTTTGCGGGTCTAAACTTTCCTCACTTGCGGCTATGGTGGAGATATACTCATCTGGAAAATCGAACTTCACCGGTACGTAGTCATTTATAGGTTGTTGAGCTAGGTAGTCGGCCAAAGCACTCCCCTTAATAGCCTTTTGAGTTACATAAACAATATCATATTCGGACAAGAGAACCTGCCACCTTGCAATTCGACCCGAGAGAGACGGCTTTTCAAAAAAATGTACTTTATGGGGTCCATCTTTCAAATGAGCCATGTGGTATAATACAACATGTATTGTCTTAGACGTCGAGCAACCCAAGCTAGAGCACAACAAGTTTTTTCTACTTGAGAGTATCTAGTCTCGCAATCGGTGAACTTCTTACTTAAATAATATATAGCATGTTCTTTCCTGCCTGAAT